TGCGATACAGAATGCGATCTTTTGGCCGGCGTCGGCGATTTTTTGGAGTTTAGGAGAGGCGTCGAAGTAGTCTCAGGGCTCTTGAAAAGGGCGACGAAGAAACTCCTCTTCGACTTCTTCCTCAACTCGTAGATGGAGCTGAGTGTGGCGTACTTATCCTTGTCCCAGGTCCACATTTCTCTCATTCTAAGGAAGATCGCCGGCATTCACTACCGCCACGGATACATGACTGAGTCGGAAAAGAAATCGGACAAGTATCCGACTTGGCCAAGCGAGGCTAGCCGAAGCCCGGCGGAACGGCACGAATACGCCGCTCGCTTTACGACTGTTTACAAAACAGAAATAATAAAAAAATAATGAACTTTTTTATCTTAATCCCTCAATCAATCATTGATGAATGATTGCTCTCTCGTAATATTCGCCTCAAAAACTCATTAAGACTGGAAGGGCCCAGAAGTCATTGATGTTGACAAAAGGTCTTTCGCTACGTCCGCATCCTAGTAATTTGTGCTGGATTGTGTATGTGTATGTGTTCCTTTTCCGGTAAACCTCTCTTCCAATCCATATATCATATACTCAATCAAGTATTTTGAAGCATTTTCAGAGTTAATGAAACCAAGTTCCCATGGTCGACATCGTCTTCTTTTATAATTTTATGTTATAATTTTAATTACAAATAAATCTGGCAATTGAATTTTTCAATTGAGTTTTCATTTTGTTTAAGATTCCTAATTTAACGAAAGGCACCATGATTTGCCTAATAATAACTTAATTTTAAAAACGAATCTTCTTTTTCATCTTCTCTCAATCTCACTTTCTTTCTCTCTCTTGCTCTCTCGAACACCTTCTCCCTCATTTTTATTCTTTCTATCTTTCTTCCGTTTTTTCACTATCTCTTTCTCTCATTATCTCTCTCACTCTTTCTACCTCTCTCTCTCTATCCATCTATCCACCTCTCTGTCACTATCATATAAACATCTCGTTCTCTTTCTACCTATTTATTTCTATATCTATCAATGTATCTCTCTCTCTCTCTCTCTCTCTCTCTCTCTCTCTCTATATATATATATATATATATATATATATATATATATATATATATATATATATACACCTCTTTCTCTCTATCTTTCTACTTTTATCTCCGCTCTCCCTTATTCTCCAAGTATCTCTTAGTCTGTTAGTCTTCACTTTAGGCTTTCATCTCTCTCTCTCTCTCTCACTCACTCAACTTTCTTAAGTAGATTAAGATTAAGATCTTCTACTTTATGTACCTTATTGCTGCACTTTCAACATTTCTACATGGTAGGACACTTTGTCACTTTCAGATCAGATGTTCAGATCACTGTCGATATCTATTTCTCCCTTGTTCTCCATGCCTGCCTGTCTATCAGTGTGTTTATAAAATGCAAGAATTGGCAATTCTAACGGTCTTGGCGCCGCTGTTGGTAAGGCTAAACAAAATATTTTTGTTTCGTGTTTCGTAAGTAAAAAAATTATTTTATTTCCGTACAATTACCAATATATATATATNATATATAAAGGGTGAGATTGTTTTCGAATTCATCCTCTTTTCGTTCTGTTTTGTAACTGCGTTAACAGCTCTATATGGCCGGTCGTCGGATCCACGCTCTAAACAAAGGGCAATGTGGCGAAAACAGACTCCTCTTTAAGATCTAAGAGTAAAGATGGTATCAAGGTTATTTACCCGAAAAACTCTATTTTTCCGGGTAAAACTCTCCCTCCTTTTCTTCGATTTCCTTGTTTATTAAAAAAAATGTACACTGTAATAATGTTTATCCGGGCTTATATTATCCGAGGTCGATGCCAGACGGCTATTAAATAAAGAGGTGGCATTATCCTGGCATTTTTATAGCCCACGGAAGGCTCGCCCGGTTGACTGTTAAGATTCAACTGGCCTAGTTCACATTGCTGCCTTACACATTAATTTTAGACATGTAATATGCAATGACCTTTCACAATGGAAAATTGGGCCGATCAATATGCGGATGTCATCATTTGTTCGATACATATATTATTTTAGATAATTAAATACAAGTGAATATTTAAACTAACATCTTTCAGGTAATGTATGGAGAAATAATTTTAAAGGTATAAAAATTTGATAATTATGACAAAAATAATAACTGTTCTTAATTCCAATCAGTGCAGCTTGTATGAAAAATTGCCATTGCATCGTGTTGAATGTTAAGCTATAAAATGTTAACATTGTTCTAAACATGATAAAGTAAAACTAATGATATGGCATTTTTGCATAAATATTATGGATGTTAATTTGTCTATATGTGGAAAATTTTTCAAATACACCTATTTATTGGCAAGGTTCTAGGCAAGGCCTCAATTCTAAAGAACAAACTATAATTTACTTTTTAATTTAGGAAATTACTTTTTTCTTCATCAGTCCGTTAATGTTGGTATGTATGAAGAGATAAGTGCTTTTACATATGAACTCCAAAATGTTTGATCTTTGTTTAAATTAAAATATCCATGCGTTGGTGGTAGAAATTGTCCTAAAACATATTGTATACATTTATTTATATTATTTTTTCATTGTTGTTTTCTTAGATTCCATAATTCTAAGGATATTGGATATCAAAAAACCAGAAGAAAAGCACACCTTTTGAATTTCATCTGAAAAGCTAGTTGCATTTGTAAAGTTTTCTGACAATAAAATGTAAAATGACCCAAATAGACGACAATAAAGTGCGTTGGACCGTAATATTTCGCTTTAGTAAAACCGATAAGGTTTTAGTTCAATTTCTACTTTCATAACCTGTTATTTTTTATTTATTTGATCGACGACCCTTGCTCCTTAAATAAATATTCTCTACAAACGTTTTTCACGACACTGCTCTTTGAGGAAAAACGAGACCAGATCCGGATATAAAACAGATCCGATTGTGGTTTACTCTCTACAAATAGCGAGAACTGTAAAAACAATCTTGGCCAAGTGTAAACAGGAATGAGAAATCAAAATGTAGCAGTGGCCAAGAGGAGGTAATTTAAATAGTTTCCATGCCGGAAACATTAATTGAGTGTTGTGCTGCCAATTTGTCCAAACGTGTAATATTTCAATTATTGTGTTCGCTTTTCCAATTAGCAATATTTAAAACAAATAGATAAAAAGTGTATGATATTTTCTTGAAACATTGTATATACTGTTTACAAAATACTTGTAAGGTTTAAGAACGTTAATCGTTTTAGAAATAAACCCTTCGGTAAATAAACTCCTTGCTTTCCGGCCTAAACTATCTCGACATGGAAAATATTTTCAAAATGGGTTGACGTCAAACTGGAAAATTGTGTGACGAGCGATTTTGGAATTTCCTGTAACTCTTTTAAGAACGGAGAACAAAACCTGATATATGACATAATATCAAATTGTATGGAATATTTGAAAACTGAGGTAACTGAAAGTAACTTTTAAGGACGTTTTGAAATGCCTTTTTGTATTGACAAACAATGTTAGTGTGCTATTGTTGCCTCTCAACGGATTTGAAAAGGAAAATTCTATTGATAATTTAGTAGTTCGTATATGATAGTATGACATATTTGGAATTCTATTGGAAGAGCAATATCTCATTTCAAAGTGCCTATCCTTTTGACCACCAACTGTTTGTGATTTTTTATAGAAAAATGTCAAAGAGTTTCTAACATGTAATATTTATGTTGATGATTTCACACATCGACGTTCAGTCGTACAATAAAAACGATTAAATAAATACAGATTTGACATTATGCAGTGTTTTGTTTGTAATTTGATTGATCAGCACAAAAATCTATCCAAATTTACTGGTAGATCGTACTCAATAGCAAAGGAACAGGAAATGTCGTTAGTAGATCAATATAGTGCATCAAATCGATTAGGTTTCGTGGTCCGATTGACCAAATAAAATTTTTTCATTTAATTAATCTTTAAGTGAGGTATTGGTTGAGGTAAAAAAGTCAGTGTCACGAGCAGGATTCGAACCCACGGGAGGTTGGTGTCCGAGTGGACCGAAGTCACGATAGCTCAAGTGGTAGAGCAGCGGCGTATTTAGCCGAAGGTCGTGGGTTCGAATCCCGCTCCTTACATTGACTTTTTTATCTTTACCTATGCCTAAAGATTAATTAATTGAATAGTGCATTAAATTCAACTGGCTTTCAAGAATAAACCATGCGGTTGACTCACGGACACTTACTTTGGGCCAAAGCACGCGTGTATATTCGGCATGTTGAGAAAGGTCACAAAATATAACACAATTGAATCTAGTCTTTGGCTCCTTATAGAGAGCGTTTAGGAATGCCACCCGATATGAGAGTTATGCTTAAGAACGGAAGCGGGTATTGCGTCTCTGGATACGATTTTTGGACGGCCGTTTTGTATTCGCACATAGTAATGATATCTCGTTTTCTATTCTTTTTGTGTGTATTAAGGGTGAATGTATTTATTGTCCTGTAGTATAAGAAGGCCTATGGATTTATATTGAATGCCCAATCGACCCAAAGTTATATTGGTTTTTGAATAATGCCTGTAAAGGGTGATGGAGAAATATTAAGTACTCCTCCACCCTAAGTGCGTGATTTAAGAATGAGTGTAAGTAAGTGTGAGTGTGTGTTTGTAAATAATTTTGTAATTTGTTCTAAAAATGGAAAACATTTTTTTTTTGTCGGAAGTTTTGGAAAATACGGATCTAAGACGAGAGTTAATTTGTTTCAGAGTAAAATCTAAAAACCTGCTTGAGAAATCGGCGCGACTTTATTTAAAACTTTTCTTTTTACTTTTGGAGATTGCAGGTAATCAAACAAATCGGTCATATTTATAATTATCTAGTTGAAGAAGTATCAGAGTGTGATCGTTCCTTTCCAAATGACCTAATTTTTTAATATAACAGCATAATCGTAAACAATAAATAACTTACCGTAGATTACGACAGAAAGTATATTAAAAAATATATTATGAACGCACATATCTTAAATATGTTTTATTTTAAACTTACCTGGCAATATTCTTTGTCTGTCTCTTCTAGATCGTCTCCGGCTTCTAAATCCGGATCTTTATTCTGAAAATATTATTGAAACCGTAATTAGATTATACAAATTAAGTAAGAAAAAAGCAATTTCGTATTTACCAAAACTGGGAATTCTTGTCTAAATTCGGCACACCACTGTTGATATGGTGTACCTAAGGGCGACACCTTACCCATCAGGTCACGAAGTTCTTTACACAATGAAGGGTTCCTATCCAACTCCAACCTCGAAACCCTGAGCCATTCCTGTCGAAATGAAAATAACATTATTATTACAAAATAAATTATTAATTATTATTTTAGCTCGTAATCGACGCACTTCTATCAAATTGAGTATTGCCCTGTGCCAAGGAGGTATTTCCAGTTGTATGCAGGCAGGACTGTCTCGTCTTCGGTTGGTCCTGTCGGACGGAGAGAGAGAAGATCTTCGTGAATTTCCACCGACGACGGACATATTCCCACCTTGAATCGTCCCACTGGACACCCTCCTTTCTTCCACTGGAGTCGAAACTGGTGAAGGGGCCTGTAAGACATAAAAACCAGTCATAAATTGACACTAACAGTTTTAACTGAAATTTTGATCAATAAATATTAGTGTATAAAGTTGCAACAATTAAGAAAAAGCATTGGTTAAACAAAAGGGGACAAAATTGACTAAATTTACGCTAGGGTAGCGAATCGGTCCGAACAACTGTATAAGTAGGTACATTCGACAAATAATACTGATTTTTACTGTAAGTACCTACTATTGACAAACACAAGGAATTTCATCAAACATGGAAGAAATAAGTTGTTTTACCAATTAGTTTAATTTATATTTTTGTATTAGATTTCAGGTCTGCAAATTATTATGTACATTTTTACCTTATTTTTAAATTACGGATTGTCCAAGAACACGTGGATTTTATAAAGGTTAAGCTATTTCACTTTTTTCTTTCTTTGTTTCGGTCTTTTTCTGCCCATCATCAGTAAACCCTAAAAAGATATACTGTCAAATTATAGCATTATTGTATACATTAGAGCATTATTAATTAATATAATTTTCAATTTAATTTAATTAATAAAAATTAAAAAGTAAATGATATTAATTAATAATGCTATTGGGTTGTCCGGAAAATAATGCAGNCATACAAATGAGTAATCCTGTAAACGTAAACAGAATATTTTATATAGATTTTTTTTAATGAAAACTTAAAATCCTGCATTATTTTCCGGACAACCCGATATAATGTATACTAATTTGACTGTACTTCTTGTTAGGCTTTCCTGACGATGGACAGAAAAAATCTCTAATTTAAAAATAAATATAAATAAATTACTTTAAATTACATTTTATGATAAAATATTTTTTAAATGCAGTTTTATTAGTGTAAATTTAGAAGATCTCATTTAGAGAAAATAATACAATAATTAAGCAAATACAGCGATATTTATTTGTGTGTAAACGATCTAATTACTGGAAATTGTAGTATAACAATTGAACGAAAAAATTAAAAACATGAATAATAAATTTAACCAGCTAGTTCGTACAAAATATGAATACATAGCTCAGGAGACGTCCAAAAATAATAAAATTCGTATGTAATACTAATTTCTCGATCGTTTAATACCATGTTTTGAGGCTGGTGATGATCCACTTGGAATCCCAATGTTCCGGCCGACCTCCCCCTCGGCAGCTTTGACCACGTGACTTCCGGAAGTGTCAGAAACCTGGAACCTTCGTAAGTCACTCTGGGCATGGATCGCGACCGAGGGCGAAGATGAGGCTTTTCCATGGCATCGCTCGATACACCTTGACTGGTACCGCCTTCTGGCGAATCGAAATCAGGTAGGTTCTGCAGCTGCTTCTGGAACGCGATGATCTCCTGTTCCGGCGTATCTCTCCGGCAGCCGGTTTCAACCTGGTGGAGTACCTGAATAACAGTAAAAGTCGACATTATAAGAACTCGTAATGTTGATTCATTAAAATAATATAGTTGTAAAATATGTAACTGTTATCAAGAAAAAAAACACAAGTGTCGTCGCAAAATTAATATTAGCATGAATAAAAAAATTGCTTACAGTGTTATTTTTTTAAATCCTGGGTAATGATTATTGCGAAACTTAAAATAAAAAAGTGGTAATTTTGGCCATCAGTCGTAAATAATGTCTGACCTGTTCATGCGAATATAAAAGCGCTAAGTTATATAAAATTTATAAGTTATATTTATGCCGGGTCGTTATTGATTCGACTCTGGCATTTGTTGATGCAAAACATCTTAAGACCAACGCGAACTTAGAAGTCTTAGAAATCACATTTGGAACTGAAAGACCTTCGTACCCAGTTTATTTTTAGGCGGTTCATCTACTCCACTACCATATTAATAAAACGTTGTGTCGTAAATATCCCATTATCAGTTTTCAATTTTGGTTGGTCCTCCAAAAAACCTATTCCACAATTTTCCCCTATTTGGATAGAAATCATTACGTTGAAGATCGTTTGTTGAACTTGAATCAGAGGTTGCGGTTCGATTTCACTATACAAATCATAGTTGCACAATCCTAGGTTTAAAAAAATTCAACTACTATTTCGTATTTCGTCATTTATCCTTTTATACCCAAAAGAACTACGCATTGGATCTGAATTTTTTGATTTCTTCAACTTCTAGTATCAGTAAAGGTTTTATAATTTTGTTATATTTAGTGGTCTATTGACCAAATTACTTCTTTCTATTAATTAATCTTTTTATGTAAGGTTTTGGTTGAAATAAAAAAAAGGTCCTGGAATCGAATCCAGCTTGTGACTAACTTTTTCACTTCGACCAAAACCTTACATAAAAATTTTTAAAATTTGTTTATTTATTTAGTTTTTTATGTCCACTGATAATTTTTTTCCAAGAATAATGGCTATAATTGAATAATCAAATAGAATAAAAATTTATAAAATTAAGTAAAAGATTTCTCGACTTTACTGAAATATGTTTAAATCTTTCTATATTTTTTCTTTATTTTTTTATTTTTAAATATTACAAAATTCAAACAAAATGAAATCATAACCGCGTTGATAGGATAAAAAATGTATAAATCTTTAAACACTTTCTAACAGTTTTAAAATGCAAGTTTGTTTTGTATATATGTAAATGTTTTACATCAAATTTTGATATATTATCACACGTTTCATAAAACATAAACGAATTATGTCAACAGTAAAGATTCACGGCAGTTTTTGTGGGCAAAATTTTTCGCAATGTTTATCTATATTTTTTTGGGTGGGGGAGGAATATTGATAATAGTTAATTAATAAAGATAATTATAATTACTAAATACATATATGGATTGATAATTACTTTCGTGATGTTCGCATGTGATTTCGATCTCTGTTTGTTGCTATGTCTAAGGCTAGAGAATCGAAAAGACGAGCGAGTTTTCTGGTGGTGATTAAGATTAAAGGCAGCCAATGGTCGAAAATCTGCAGAAACACGGACAAAATAAAATTAAAGGTTGTTCAATTAAACATTTTTTAATTATGACTATTATTAAATACCTGATGGACTTAGACGTCCGTCGGAGCTTTCCCCCGAGTGGATACTCTCTTTAGATCTGGTCCTTAAAATATGAGAAAAGGCAAATATGGCTTGCATTGCGGGCTCGAGACCCGATGCGCTTCCTATGCTGTCTCTAGGAACCAAGGAAGCGCCTCTATCAAGGCACCTGTGGCTTCGCACACTTTCGACAACGTGATCCGACCCCCAGCCCGAACAGTCCACAGTCAAGTTAACCTTTAAACAAGCCAATTTATACACCACAATTTATTAATTTCACTTGGTGCAATTACTTTTCTTCGGTTCCGGAGAGTGCTGGGCTCGGTGTCGGTAGAGCTCGCCCTGCTTCGCGGGCTCCTGGGAGCATCGTGGGCGGCCGATGCGAAAGAAGATCTAGACGTGCACGACTTCCACCTCTGAAGATGTGCAGCCGTGGTAAGCAGTCTGTGAAGAAGAAGTCGAACCAAAATAACGGGTGATAGGACGCAGGGGTAGCAGGACAAAAAGCTTTGGACGAAAATTGGAGAAACAGGCTCCACTGGGACCTTTCTTTCCTGGTGTTGTACTGAAAAACAAATTATTATTTTTTTGAGATTTCACGTTTGTTGATTGTTAGACAATCCATTGAAAGAAAATATATCAATTTATTATGTAATTACTAATATAAATGTGCCATTATAAAAAAAAGATCTATTTTCTTTCTCGGCCGATTCATGGACTAACAGTCAACACAAACACGTAATATTATTTTTAATTTAATATAATCTGAGCTTTCTTACAGAAATTTAGCGTGTGGCTGTAGTAAGAATGGCCGCTCAGGACCCATTGCAGGCTAGTGCTTTCCGTGGGGATTCCTTGTGTCAATGAGCTCTGTAAAATAGTTTAATGGATACTCAGAAATACTGTTAAATAACAATACTGTAAAATACTGTTAATTGAACAAATCAGAAAATAAACGTTTTCGTTTTTTTACCTCGATAGCTTTCAGCACGCTGATAACGGCATATTCGACTGATACACCAAGAAGCGCTTTCGTGTCGCCACAAGAAACCGAACTCGGCGGAGCTGATGTGTTGATTATATAATTATCTTCTACAGATTCAAGCAATGGAGTCGGCGGAGGAGCGTCTTCTGAAAACAAACACAAAATTTTTCTGGACATGTTCGAAACTCCAGCCGCGAAACATAATTCGTGGAAATGTCAAGACGTCACGACAAACTACCAATATTTCAGACCCAACGGGATAAATTACAAAATATACAACCGGGTCGACATTCAACACATAGGAGTTATTAAAACTTTGTTGATGTTTGAAATTTTCATTGGAAGTACCTGTGGTAGAGTTCAAACTGAACATCGATATTTACAGGCAACAGTTACAAAACAAATGCATTGCTCAGAATGACAGTTCAGTTTAAAAAAAAATAAATAAATAAAATAAAATAAAAATTAAATTTAAAAACAGGAGTTCATGATATACATAAAATATTGGTATAAATAAGTTTTTTAAGTATATATTTATTACATGTTCATAATGTCTTATTGATTTGCACCTCTTCTATCCCTAATCTATTTCTAATCTAGTCCGTATTTCTCTAAATATAAATAAATATGCTCAATTTTAGTTTTAATAGTTTGCCAATTAGTAATATGTATATTATGATTGTATAATATATGTTTTACCTTGTTATATTATATATTATTACATCTTACGGTTCTATTGGTTAGATGATTGTATAATTATAATTATAGACGAGATGATGTATCGACCTGCTGTTGAACAACTTGGAAAAAAGGATCTTCGATGAGCTCACAACAGAAAGACGATTCTTTCAGATTTTGCTGAGCTTTGGACGATTATATCGTCACCATCAGGGCCCCCATCATCAGGGACAACTCGATGAGTATTAAAATATATATTTCAATTAATTAAGGTTTTTAGTTGAGATAAAAAAGTCAGTGTCACCAGCGGGACTCGAACCCACGATCTTCGGCTAGATACGCCGCTGCTCTACCACTTGAGCTATCGTGACCTCGATCAGCCTCTATCTTGAGAACAAGACACTGTATTGAGATAATTTAAAATTAGGTGAAGCTCAGTATCTCGGTATGTAAGTGCATGCCTGTTTTTTTAAATAAAATTACTTTTTATCTCAGGTACATTGGAATATCACAGTTAAGATTAAATTAAGCTTCGTTAATTGAACTAGATATAGATAACTTAAATTAGAGTACTAACATCTACCACAAGGGAGAGGCATGAGGAAAAAAAAAAAAAAGAGGCATGTACTTATATTTATTTTTTAACCGAGATACTGAGCATCGCCTAATTTGATCTAGTCTTATCATAAATGCAGTTTTTTGTTCTCAAGATATATTTAAATATTGTTCGAGTTGAAGCCCTGATGATGACGATAGAATCGTCGAAAGCTCGGCAAATACTGAAAGAATTGTCGTTCTGTTGTACCCTCATCGAAGAACCTTTTTTTCAAGTAATTATCATTATACTTAACTCTATTATCCTCATAAATAGATACTAGAAAAAAGAAATGTAAAAAATATAGTTATTTAATTATTTACACTCTGTTAAATAATTACGATTATAAAATAATGTATGGTTATTACTTGCTTATTAATTAATAATTAGATGTAGGAAATTGATTATATATTATTATATTGTTATTGTACAATCAATTAACTTTATGGTTCCTATAATTATTGATTGTTTATTATTAGATTGATTATACATTTGTATAATTAATGCAATAACGCTCTACTCTGCGAGTAAATCGATACTCAAGGGTATAAAACATATTTGTTAATTGTATTAGTATTTATTTATGGTTAAATTATGAATTGTATTAGAAAATGTATGATTAAAAATATAATAATAGTATATGATACCAACCTTGGTATGTAGAAAAAAAAGGCAAATGTTACATGAATTAGACCCCTGTATATTGTTGTTTTACAACAAAAAAAGTATGTTTTGATTGATTATTGTTTTTAGTAGTTTGCGAGAAATTTATTTGTGCGTAGGAAAAATAGAAAACGTAAGTAATATACTTTCTAGGTTGAGATAAAAAGTCAATGTCACGAGCCGGATTCGAACCCTGAGCTATCGTGACAACGATCCTCTCGGACACTAACTCCCCACCTCAACCTACAACCGTTCGAATTTTTCCCCCTTTTTGCCATTTTCAAATTTGTAATCAGAATTGGTTGGTTTCTCAGCGACTTGTGAAGTGGCCACGGAAAGCTGTTTAGTGAAGCGATACTTCTTTTATTTATTAAATATCAATCCATTTATGTTTTATTGGTCAACTGACCAAGTTACTTCTTTCCATTGATTAGTTGAAGACCTTAAATAGAATGAATAATTATTTGAAAGAAGTAACTTGATCAATTGACCACTGAAAAGTAAATGGATTAATATTTAGTAAATAATATATTTTTTAATATAATAAAATTATTTTCTGTAAATTCGATCATTTATTCTCCCACGGTCTTGAACTCAGTTGAGTAAGAAAAACGGACGCGTACCAGATGCCCGGACGCTGAAAAGCTACCAATCAACGAAAGTGAGTCTCAATTTGCTGAAAGTATGATTCGTTTAATCCATTAGTCATTCTTGAAACCTGAGCACAGTTATTGCCATGAGTTTTATTTTTTTGCCGTTGAAACTCGGGCAAATCGGAAACCATAACTCTACTGTAACCGCGCTTTTCGTAATATCCAAGGAGGGAATAAAATTGTATGTTATATTCTCCGGAGTCTCTTAGCGTGGAAGTGAAAACAAAAAAATCATCCTCGGTGTAACTTGCGTTGAAAGTTTGGACACTCGCCTGAGTCACTTTTCGCTATATACATTTTTTTAATTGACACCAGAGAGACGGATGAGTGCAACTTTTGCAAACGTGATGGAAGAGGGTGCATTCAAGTCGGGGTTTTCATGATTATCGATCATGTTTGAATAGGCCGCTAGACCATCCCAGGGAAAAGTTTTATCAGCTATAAACAAGTTTGAGAATAACAGAAGTTGCAAAAAAGCTGAGGATAACTTTTCATACAGTCCCTCACCACAACATATGCATTAACACCACGTTTTCAAATGGAACACAAAATATGAGTTCGGACCTCGAAGTTTGGAAACACATCAATTTAGAAATATATACTGTCAAAATTTTTAATATGCTAACGTATAAAAAGACAGCACTGAATCAAAATATAATTAACACAAAATCTTTGTGAATATGCATTTCGTGTCATTCGGCTACAATAAACATGGAATTATAAATTATAAGTTACATATAAAAAACATTATCAGAAAACTGATCATAATATTTCAACTACCTACATATTGTTTGTCTTGTTTCAAATGCCTGTGAAAGGTTTGCATTTAGTTCGACCAAACAATTAATCATATTGATGTGAAAACGTTTCTGCATGTTGAGACATAAATTCAAGAAACTTCAAAAGTTTGCAAAATTTTTTATACATGGTGGTTCGCAATAAGATGCAAAAATTTGGTAAAAGGAGAACGTTAATGGAGTAGAATACTGGAAAAAACATATTTTTACTTATTCCCTCTGGGATATGCGACTTTTGCAAACATTTTTCGGAATGGGAAAAACGGATTTTATAAAAAAAAACATGTTTTTCCTTTACCTATGAATTTTTTTGGTCAAAATTGAGAACATTTAAAAAAAATATTTAAACGGTTTAAATGATGTCATCAACTTTAACCCGTTCAATCCAACAGACAGCCGTTTGGCTGACATAAATGTAAAAAACACAACAAAAACCTTAACTTTGAAAAATGTGCGCTATTCTGTGACAAACCTTCTAAAGATCTGTAAATTTAACAATTATTACTACATTTAGTAAGGTCTCGAATGGTACCCTTGGTCAGATTCTTTAATCAAGGATTATGGTAGATCAAACCCCTGAAAAAACTTGGAAAAATCGAGGTTTTATGCAAGGACTGAAAGCAAACCAGCTTGTGTAACGTTTTTATAAAAACTTACAAACAGAGAATGGTTCGCTATGCAATGCGTGCTAGTAGACTATAAATCGAGGTGAATGCCGACAAAACAGATTTTCTAACTTATTTCGTCAAGAAGATACGATTTTGTAAACTTTTTCGGAAAATACGGACTTATCACACAATAAACAGATTTACTCTGTTACAGATCAAATATTCGACCGTGTTGAATTTTTTCCAAATTTACGTTGACTTGTCTAAGCATCACCCTTTCAATCCGACTGAGAGCAGTTTTATTGGCACAAACGTAAAATATTCAAATATTGGAAGTTCTTCGAAGAATTTCGAAAATTGTTTACGCTGTAACAAACCAATCATAGAGATCACATTTTTCAAAAAACTGCTTTATTTCTTGTACGTTTAAATGGCATTACTGGTAGGATTGGTAATTTTTGTTTTATATATTTTCTAAAAGTATTAAAGGAAAATAAACGAAATTCAAAAATTGAAATTTTGGAATCATCGGGTTAATTTTAGAAGTTTTGACAAGCATCAAATTATTTGTTGACATTTTCTCTTTAAAATACTACAACATTTTTGAAATTTCTCGATGCTGCGTGCTGATGGATCTGCAATTTGGTTGCTCGGACGAGAATAGACAGACCAAAACGATCGGTAACGACCAAATTTTAACTACCAATATTCCTAAATAAAAATTCAGGTGTATAGTAGTTGAACAATGAAGCAACAAATTTATAAGTAATTTAATAAAATTCCGGTCAATACGCTTTTAAACCACGTATGAGTCATATAAATCATTCATAGTAATTGAAGATCAAACCTATGATCAGTGATGATGTCACGCTATCCGCATAATACAGGCTAATCCGGATCTCAGAGCAAGTAGCAATTTAACAGTATGAATCGATTAATCTTATGAAAACATAACTCTTTCAGTTCACTGGTGAAACTGTATTCAGCGACTAAACATTGTCAACTTCAGATTTCGCCGAACGATTTAAGTATTTTTGACACTTTATATTTCGAAATTGTATATGTTATCAATGGCATTTTTTAAACAGTCGAAAACTTAACTAGTTATTTTGAAATTGTATTGTTTTTTTAACTTTTTCACTTAATGCTGTTTTCTTTTTACATAGGTCTTTCTAAATTTTTTCCTTTATCGACCTACAGCATAAATATAATTAAGAAGATTATTTAAAAGAAATAGAAGAAAGACGAAGAAGTATTATATAAGTAAATAAGCGACAAGGATTACAATATACCCTCCAATATGTCGCAATCTTGGAGACAACTTTAATGTGTTAAGCCTGTTACGTTTCTTCATGTTCATCATTTTATTATAAATAATCCTTAATTTTTATTACTTTTGGGAAATGATTTTCTCGTACCTTGTAGAATATCGTACACGGAGAATCTGAGGTTGACTCTATGTTGGAAGCCGAGGTAGACAAGTATCCGTGCTACGTGGTGCTTCACGAACCTGGCGTACTTTGTGGAATGGTTGGTGTAGTACCACTCGTCAGAAGGGAGAAGAAGCTGAGAAAGGACGTCTGGAAGCCCTTGGTCTGCTAAAGCCCTGTGATTGGCCGGGTCTAGCGCCAGCGTCGCCACGATTTGAAGTACGAGAACTAGCAGTTGCTTGAAACAAAACAAAAATAAAAATGTAAAAAAAAAAGGAAATGGTCATTATTTTTTGAGCTATTTACAGGATCGTGGGTCGAATCTAATGCTGCAGCGAGGATCCGAAGCTGAGGTTCCTGGGCAAGCTGGGCCTGCACAGTCTTGCCTTCAACCATGAAGAGAAGAGACCTGGCAGCTAGGAGCTGAAGACAATGATAACTACAATGACGCCATCTGGAGCAAACAAAACTTATTTTAAAATTCCTCCAAAAAACATTTTCTTTCAAAACAACCTAAGACCAAATCGTTTTGCACACAATATGTGTAAAAACTAATCAAGGCATTCATCATAAATTCGTGTGCAAGTTAGATTTTTCTTAAGTGATCACATAAAATCAAATCTGTGCCACATCAAAATCTTATCTCGTATATTATTTTTAAAGGTTTTTGACAAACTAATAACTTACCTTGAAAAAAACACAACGAACATTCGTATAAGACATCCATTACACTTAAGACATTATGAGCCTGGATAACATTAAACATAAGGGTACAGGGTTCGAGTCCTCGTTTAGTGTAGAAAAAGACCCAAGAGACCTAACGTTGCGTGGTTAAATAACACGAACAATCAATCTATCAATTGTTTTATCTAAAATTTATGCTGATTATGTTGGAACATAGCATTTCAAAATTTTTTCAAGTTTAAGATCAACACCCAATCTAACGTATTAAAAATGCTAACAAAACAAAAAACAGAAAACGAACAATAAATAATAATACATAAATAAATTATAAAAACGAACAGAGATGAGGTGAATAGAACATAAAACACGTAGTTACTCTGTCAGGTTTTCTAGGAATACCGACATTAACAAGATATTGAAACTTTAATAAACAATATAAAATATTAATAAATAGGAAAAAAATTAAGATTTTAAACCTGTGGTTTGATGTACAATAAAAGTAAATATTCATAACATTATAACTCCAGATCAAATATTTCTCAAGTTAACTAATTTCGTGATCCGCTTGACCAATTAATATATCACAATTAATTAAGGTTTTTAGTTGAGATAAAAAATCCCCAAGGTGCGGTTGAGATGGGAAGTTGGTGTCCGAGTAGCTCAAGTGGTAGAGCAGCGGCGTATCAAGCCGAAGATCGTGGGTTCGAATCCCACTCGTGGCATTGACTTTTTTATCTCAACTAAAAACCTTAATTAATTGTGATATATTTCTCAAAGGTGCAACACTAGCCATTCTTGGAGATAATCAGGCATCTGTAAAGGCTCTTCAAGATTACAACATTACCTCGAAAACTGTCTGAAACTGCCTTAGTGCCATAAAAAAGATATCTTCAAATTACCTAACACTACAGCGGGTCCCAGGTCACCAGGGTATTTTATGTAATGAGACAACACATATACTTGCTTAAAAAGCCATACATCCATGGGCTCAAATCATTATTGTGGAATAAACTACAGCCCTATGGCTAAAAGAGAACTGCAATCTTGGGTAACTACAGAATAAAGCAAATACCAAGAGCAGAGACCAGGCATATTTAGATATTTTGCAGTTAGGTAACACTTTAAGATAGGACTATCAATAAGTGATAAATGTCGATTATGCCTTAAAGAGACAAACGACTGAAAATATCCTATACAACTGCCTTGCCGTAGCTAGTTTATGGGAAAGCCTTTCTTGAACCATACAATTTTTGGAAACATACCGCTGCGTAGAATAAGATTCTTATTAAGAAATAATCTTATTATAAGATTATTTTAAAATCTATTAGCAGAGATTGGCACTGGAAAAACCTTTAAAATTAGCTACTAAAATTTGATAGTCTTGATGAGAGTGATATTTTCCCCAAAAGATTTTTAAATAGGAACTGAGTGTTTTCTTTTATAATTCGTCTCATGTGGTGATTGTTAATATTCAATTAAAATGAACGGCTGAGGTCGAAATGTATCGGATAAATTCCTCAGTTAGGTGATAAATATTATTGCTGGTTGCGTATATAATAATAAAAACTGATAATTATGTGGTACCACAGTATTATCGGTGTTACTTTAGTTTATCGAAGTCATCCATATTTTAATTTTCCTAAATTAGTTCTTATATAATCTGTTGTTGTGGTGTTAATTAGATGTACTGTTAATCCATACTAGATTAAAGTAATTTACAATATGAGATGTTGTTTCTGAACTTCGAGTTTCTGATGTCAATAATAATAACTATAAGCCTAGAGAATAATAGTATAAAAGACAATAGAGTAAATCGTCTAATTTTCTTTAATACTTATATAAGGTGAACCGTGAACAAATATCAATGCTTCATGAAGTTACCCTACATTGTAAAGTTATTTTAAACTGTAAATTTCATTACAACAATGAATTGAATCCCACATGAGATTTTTTTCAACATGTTTTTACTGTAACCTTAGGAACAAATCTTCAAAATCACTCAGAATATAAATTTTTCAAGCTTATACAATACTTGTCTAACATTTAAGTTTGATTTTATTGGTTCTGTACAAATTACTGATAGAAAAGTTGCCCCTACGACGTAACTGTAAACATGTATTTATTATTTCAAAATGCCAGTATGAATAAAAGGCCAGTATATGTATAAAATTAACGTTTAATTGCTAAAAATTGATTTAAGCAACATTTATAAATCCCAGGCCCTGAAGATGATCTCAATAAAGATCGAAACGTTGGCACGATAAAGAAAATGTTTTTCTAAAACCTACATCACACCAGAGACATCTCACATCTCCGAATAATCACTTTCATTAACGTTAAACATTCCCAGTGTGAATGAAATTTATTAGCGAGAATGGAGGGGCTATTCTCCACTTATCCCAAGGAATGTTGAATACTATGGAGTGGATCAACGAAGTCTTGTGTGTGATGAGCTAATTTTTTAACGGCCTAGCATAAAAAAAGGAAAAAGAAAACAGTAAATATAAAAGTTAAACCTTTTTTCGAGATATAAACGAAATATAAAGGAAAAAATGTGAAAATGAAGAGAAAAATCCACTACTGAGCTTATAATTTTTTAATAGAAAAAATATTATATTTACAACGACTGGTCTTTGTAAAGGGGAAAACGGAAAAGTAAAGCCGGTTCAGGAATCGTCGTCATCCGTCACTGAGCCCATATGGTATGAAGGGGGGCTTGGATAGGACGAAATCCAAGGTAATATCGGCGATGTCTTCTTTAAGTATTATTTATTTGTGCGATGCTGTAGAAGCCATTCAGTAATCCTACAGCCCGATGCATCTACAGTAGATGGTGAATCTTCCTCTTTCGACTTGACAAATTGATGCGAGTGGCGCGGCGTTAGATAGTTCCATTCGATGGCGAGGTACGCTGTGAAGGTGAGAGACAATGTTTTTACTCGATTATCCCCTTAGAGCCATTCTTTGGTTCATTAATTCAGTTAAAGATGCAAAAAGTTTTTTATAATTATTCAAGATGAGTAAAGTTCTTTTAAAGTATATGATTTTATATTAAAAAAGTTCATTACATTCAACAGTGGATTTCTTATCTCTAAAGAAAACAATTTAAAAATTTCAATTTAATAGAAGGTTCACAAGAAATTATGTGGTAGAGAATTTATTATTATTATTTTTTATTCGTGGGAGATATGTATTTCTTTAGCTGAGATATTTAAGTTGTTTTTTTCCTCATTTTGGTTGCTATCCGCCTGAAGTGTGTAAGACACGTTGCTGTTTCGTACGGTAAGGGGTCGGTGTATTTAAAAGATAATTTTTTATTTATCACATTATATTTATTGACAATATATAGGTTTTAATCAAAACTTTATCCCCAATTTTATATTCTACGAATTTTTTTTTTATTGTAGTGTATCATGAGCTTTTTAAAAGTTCCTTAGAGCAGCGTCCCATAATTCACTATAATTAACCTGAGGATCGTTCGGTTCGATTTGCCATGTCAATTCCAAAGGACCGTAAACATTTCTTGCCAGGAACAAAGAATTTGGGATAAATCCTGTAAACTTATGAGTTGCGGAATTAAAAGCGAGCTGAATGAAATTCAAATGTTCGGGCCATTTCTTCTGATCTTCTGATAGGGTGTTATCGCTTCTTTTAAATCCCTAATCCGTCTTTCGCAGATGCTTGCGTCCGGTTTATATCTTATGAAGCAGTCGTGTTTTATACCTCTGGTAAATTTTCGAACTTCTCGGACCGGAAAATACTAGAGTTATCAGAAATTAATTTCTGCCAGTATCCAAAATTTTTGAATACTATTTCGTCAATTGCCTTCGAAACCAAAGTAGAATTACCTCCTCTTAATAGTATTAGGAACGTGTAATGCGTAAAGGCGTCTAAACAAGCCAAAATGTCCATAAAACCAGGAGGGGATGAATTGGGTAATTCTCCTGCGATATCATTCATCAAAACCTGCCCAGGATGTGAGTATAAATTTGCGATGAGAGTTGGCCCTTTTTTTCCTAAAAATTACCTTGATGGCAGATGCTAGAAGTATGGAAATATAGGAGGAAAACAACGTTCTTTTACTTTTCCGGAATAGCTACCATTCACACGACCGTCATCAAACAACTTTTTTGTTTAATTTGAAAATTCCTTCTCCTTCCCCGTTATTTTCTTTATTATCTCGCTCAATAATGCGTCTTTGGGAGAAATTTTGAAAGATTTCAGGGACTTCCGTCAAAACGGCGTTTATTTCCTTCGGGTTTTCTTCTCTTTCTTCCGAGAAATTCCGAGATAGTCTGCACGGTGTTGCATTTTCCTTTTATATGATGAGAAGTGAAATCAAATGCTAAAATTTTCAAAAGCCATCTGGCTAAACTTTCTTTGGAGTTTTGCATCTTAAAAAGAGTTCTTATTAATGACTTGGGGTCAGTGTATAGATGAAAGAGGTTGTGTTCGTGAATGTAAACTCGAAATTTTTCCGACGCGAAAATGATCCCAGGCAATTCCATTTCGTATGCGCTGTAACTCCTTTGTTCACAATCCGTATATTTCCGGATCGCGAAGGCTAGAGCCAAATTCAATCGTGTTCGTCCTTTTGTGTCAGCATTGCCGAGACTCCTTTGCCCGATGCATGTGTATAGATCGCGAACTGACGTGAAAAATCTGGAGTCTTTAGTATTGTCGCTGCTGTAATTGTTTTGCGAATCTTTTCCATGCGTCTTCCCTCTCCGTAGACCAGACCAAAGCTGACTTCTTTTTTTCTCAGTTTGT